GCCCACCATGGCCGCGTCCGAGCTCTACACCAAGGTAACGCGCGCGCGCCGCGCGGGGCCGCGCCCTGGGGAGGGGTCGCGCGCTCCGGGGCCGGTGGTGGTGGTGGTGGGACCTCCGGGTTCCGCCAGACTGCACCTCCCTGCCCGGTTGCACCTCCCAGCCCGGCTGCACCTCCCAACCCCGCTGCACCTCCCTGCTCTGCTTCCTGGGCCCATTTCGGGTGGGATGCTCTTGGGCAGATGCTCGGGCAGCTCTCCGGGGACGCGCGCTTAAAATAACGTCCTGTGCCGGTATGCGCCAGGCAGCCTCTCCCGGGGAGATTATTTCGGATTCTGCAGATATGGCCAGTCCGCTTTCACCTTTAGCTGCAGGGTTCTTGCCATTGCCCTGGGGTGCGGAGGCTTTGGGAAGATGCAGCCTGGCGATGGCGAGCTTATTCTCAGGCTCGTTGGTGGCTGGGAGTTTGCAACCTGCGCGTTATCCCCGAGAGCCTCGTTAGCTCCGCGTCCTCACCCTCCTTTCCGGAGAGCCCTTTCCTTTTGGTCTTCGTTTAGGGGAAGTGGCAGTCTTTTCGAAAGGTCTTAAACCGACGCCCATATTCTCTGAGTCTGGTAATCTCTCTCTGAATGGCGTATTTTGGAGAGACTTCAGAAAATCTGTGTTGGCCAATGTGTGGTGTATGCAATCGTGGTCTCTTTTATTATGGTTTCAATAGGTGTTTTGCCAGCTATTGATTATTAATGATCTCTAATTCCACTCAACAGAATTGCCTTAACTTTTCAAGTACACATTTTCAAAAATTTGCCAGAATCTCTCTTCTTCTCTCTCTCTGTTTCTGTCTTTGTCTTCCTCTCTGGCACTGGAGATTGAATGTAGGGCCTCAAGCATATATATATATATATAAGGTATATATTCATAGCCCCAGCTCTCTGGACTCTTCTTGAGCATTTTGAAATCATTGCTTGCACACATGACTCCAATAAGCCCTGAATCCAAGTTTCAGCCTCGAGGAAAGAACTCTGGATGGGGCATCCAGATACCTGCATCTGGTCGAGACCTTTTCACCAACTGTGTGACCTTGTGTGCCCTCTCTCTGGTTCAGCTTTCTTATATGTAAATAGAGTTAATTATACTTGTCCTGCATTCCTTACAAGCTGTTGTGAGGATCTATTTTATTTTATTTTGTTTTTTTGAGGCAGAGGTTCTCTGTGTTTCTCTGGCTGTCTTAGAACTCGCTCTGTAGACCAGGCTGGCCTCGAACTCAGAGATTTGCCTGCCTCTGCCTCCCGAGAGCTGGGATTAAAGGGGTGTACCGCCGCCCGCCTGGCTTTGAGGACCAAATTTAATACTAGTTGTGAAAGCTTTCTGTGACCTACAACCTTTTTCTACAAATATGAGTTATCTGATTAATTTCTTCCAGCCATGAAATGAGGAGCTTGCATGAACCTGGGACTTCTTTCTTTCTTAGCCCTAGATTTAAGAAGTGTACGATTAGAATGTTTTTCTAAACCTAGTAATTTCTTTAGGCATGGTAGGTATCTAAGATATGAGTGACTATCATTAGAAACATTGAAAGTTACCTTATTAACTTATATAGTACAATTATAAGTGTTTTGCAAATATTAACTCATTTAATCCTTACAATTAACATGTGAGGTAGATACAAGTATCAGTTTTGTTGGTGTGAAGAGTTGTCAGTCTGTAAACATTGCTTAGTTACATTGTTCTGCCCTGTCTGGCCCCTTACAAGGCCCAGCCATCAGTCCCATCTTGAACCTAATTGTAGCCTGATGAGGAGAAATTGGGTGGTAAGTTGTTGGGCTTCTGGATCTGCTTTTGTGCTCAAAAGATAAATTTGTAGGAAAAAAATGGGAAAGGTGTTGCCATTTTTAAATAAGGTTTTGAGTTTCCGTCACAGCTTTATGGGTAATATAATTCACCTTTTAATCCTCCTAGATACAGACTGATTTAGTCACTGAAACTGAAGATGAGAATTAAGGGGCTTTCTCCTAAATTCACATATACCTAAGAATAGCCTGGTTCCATACTTGTTTGTGGGCCAGTTCTCTGAATGGGCCTTAGTTTAATGACAGGCAGGGATATTTATTGAGGACCCTGTATACCAAATACTCTGCCTGATGTGTGGAGTTTCCAACAGCAGACAAGTCCACTTTCCCTCATAGGGCTCACAGTCGGCTTCTCACATTCTTGACCCACTTTGATTCTTCAAGGGCACAAATCACCTGCTGTTTCCTTAACACCAGAGGCAGATGTGTTAGCAGGAGATAGGGCTATGGCAAAGGTTGGAGTGATTTTAGAGAATGGAGTAGTGACTATTAGGAGAAAGAAGGTAGCCAATAGAAGAAATGTCAGTGGCAAACACAAGTATCTTTTCCTTGCAGAGGATTATAGAGAAGGAAGTTGTAGATAGATTACAAGGAAAAACATGTTACTGACATGCCGTAATTACGATATTCAGCATTGTGATTAAATCTGAAAAGTGCCCTTTTAAAAGTTGTCATCAGACTTTAAGGCAGATTTTGATGTGTGATACATATCAGCTCCTTTTACACTGAAGGGCATGGGGCTGTTCAATTTGTTTTCTTAAGTCAGAACGATAATGGTTTTATCATCACAACTTAGCAGGGTTTCCATTTCATAAAAATTTCCACAAGTTTAAATATTTAAGAACAATAACTTAGTGCCTGGATATAATGTTTCTTAAGACTGACATTTGGGTTAAAACATATTTGTTGATTTTTTTTTCAGAGAGGGTTGCTAAGGAGCTGTTGAATTTTTTAAATTTACAGCATTGTTGAGTTATTCTATACTGTACAATTCACCAATATAAGCTATCCGGGTCAGTAGTTTTAGTATATTCACGGGGTTGTGTGATTTTAGTTAGGTCTACCAGGCAACTGTTGTTATTGCTCTGAAGAGAGTTGTTAGTCCTGACTTGCCAGTGGATGTCTATGTGGCAGCCTCATCTAATGATGCTTTTAATAACTTCAGAGGTTTAGCATTGTGGAACCAAGTTTATCAGTAAGACCTGGAAGGATCATCTGCAGCAATCTAATTAATTGCATATTGATCAGCCATATAGACCATTGATAGCACATGGGTGTTATGCAATGGACAAAGGTACCTAAAGCTGTTTGGGTAGAAGTCCCTGTGATACATGAAGATGCTAAGTATTGTAAGAAAGGAAAAAAAATCAGATGGATACTTCAAAGCCATAAAACTTTCCCAGAGGAAGACAGCTTTGTAGGGCAGTAGATTGCATGTTTGCTGCCAAATTTGCCTTTTCCACATTTTCTTACATACATACTCATGCCATGTAACGTGTGTGTGTGTGTGTGTGTGTGTGTGTGTGTGTGTGTGTGTGTATGGTGTAGTTCAGTTAGATATTCAATAGCATCGTCCTCTCAAATCACCATTCCTGGAGTTCTAATATTTCGGTGTTGAAATCCATTATTTGATCATTTGCTCTGATCTGGAGTTTGGCAAGTACACCCTTCAGTCACGCTCCCTGTGTGTCTTTTTCCTTCACATGTCCCTAGGCTTGTTAATGGCACTGCTCATCTAGTTGCACAGGTTAGGAACCTCAGCGTCCTTTCCCTTGGATCTTATATTTTACTTCTTTACCAATTCTGGTCCCATTTGACATCCAGCTGTTAAGATTCCAAACCACTGTTAGCATCTTCTTTTTTCTATGTCTCAGTGACCTGGATCCATTTCCATCTTACTATATAGTTGTGTATGTGTGTGTTACCATTGTCATAGTACTATAAGCTCCTTGAGATGCTATTTTAGCTCTCATTTGTTAAATAAATGAGTGAATGAATACTTGAACAGGAGGAGGTATAGATTGAAAACTATAGTCGGGCAGTGGTGTCCCATGCCTTTAATCCCAGCATTCAGAAGGCAGGGGCAGGTGTATCTCTGCTAGTTCAAGCCTAGCCTGGGCTATAAAGCAAGTTCCAGTACAGCCAGAACTGCAAACCACAAAAAAGA